TCTCTATAAAAAAAAAAAAAAAAAATGCAGTTTGTTTGGTGGGCAGGATCTTTCAGTACGTTAAATCCATGGATTAACAATAATACTGATAATAATAATAAATAGTCCCCTTTTCTAAAAGGTTTGTTGAATAATCAGGAGGAGAACCAAGTTCTGCCAGGCAAGAGGGAATAAGGACATGATAGACTGGCATAGGCCTAGCAAAGCTGCCTTCTACCCAGGGAAGCGCCACAGTCAAGGTCACGGAGCCTGGGAGAAAAGAAGGCGAGGCAGCGGTGCTGTGTCACTTGTCTCTACTTGTTGCTGAGTGGCAGCCATCAGTTGCCGTCAAGCTTTGGAAGACATCCTGAGTCTCTATCAGGCTTTCTATCCAAATTTGGCATTAGTTGGTACCTACCTGTTGATCCACAAGCAGTACTGTGCTTGCAAGGAGCATGAAACCCACCTCCCTATGCCTGCCCCCTACTCCTCTTCAAACTCAGAGAAACCACATTCAGTTTAGCCTTGTGCAGGAGTTAGCCTTTAATCTCATTAAATTTTGATGATAGGAAAGACTTTCTTCATCCACCCAGTTTCCCATCCATCCATTCAACAGATTTTCATTGTGCAAGGTATTGTGAAAGATGTGTGGGCTTCCATCTCTGAGCCCAAGGTCAATGAAGTTGAAGTTAGCAATGCCAGGCCAACAGGAGTAGTGGGGATGATGATTGACACTATGACAATTTCTTTTTTTATTTGCTTTTTTTTTTGAGACAGACTCTCATTCTGTCGCCAGGCGCCAGGCTGGAGTACAGTGGCACAATCTTGGCTCACTGGGTTCAAGCAGTTCTGCCTCAGCCTCCCGAGTAGCTGGGACTACAGGCACGTGCCACCAAGCCCAGCTAATTTTTGTATTTTTAGTAGAGACGGGTTTCACCATGTTGGCCACGATGGTCTTGATCTCTTGACCTTGTAATTCACCTGCCTCAGCCTCCCAAAGTGCCAGGATTACAGGCACAGTCTTGAGCCACCTCTCTCAGCCTCCTTTTTTTTTTTTTAGACTCAGTTTCGCTCTTGTCCACCAGGCTGGAGTGCAATGGCACAATCTTGGCTCACTGCAACCTCCGCCTCCCGGGTTCAAGCAATCCTCCTTCCTCAGCCTCCCAAGTAGCTGGGATTACAGGCACCTGCCACTAGGCCCTGCTAATTTTTGTATTTTTAGTAGAGATGGGGTTTCACCGTAATGGTCAGGCTGGTCTTGAACTCCTGACCTCAGGTGATCCGTTGGCCTCGGCCTCCCAAACTGCTGGGATTATAGTCGTGAGCCACCTTGCCTGGCTGACACTACGACAATTTCAATGATGAACTGTAATTAGCCATTGTTTGGAGGAGGCTGGTGGTTAGAAGCCTCCTAAGCCTGCTGGCTAGGAGAGGAGCCAGGCAGGGATGGGCAGGCAGCTGTGGTGACCAAAGGAGACAAAGACTGAGCAGGGCTGTAACCAGGAGAGATTAAAGAAGCAGTATGCCCGGGTGTGGTGACTCATGCCTGCCATCCTAGCACTTTAGGCCAAGGCAGGAGGATCACTTGAGCCCCAGGAGTTTGAGATCAGCCTGGGCAACGTGATGAAACCCCGTTTCTACGAAAAATGCAAAACTAAGCTGGGCATGGTGGTACATGCCTGTGGTCCTAGCTCCTGGGAAGCTGAAGTGGAAGGATTGCTTGAGTCCAGGAGGCAGAGGTTGCAGTGAGCTGAGATTGCTAGGGTGTACTCCAGCCAGGGTGACAGAGCCAGACCCTGTTTCAAAAAGAAGAAGAAGAAAAAGAAAAAGATGTATGAGCATGATCATGATCAGCCACTCCAAGGGGTGGACCTCCCTACAGCTTCTGCTCACACATTCTGTCCCATCTTCTTTTTAGAAATGGATCAAGCATGAATCAGGAGCAC